TATTCATCATATTTTCAATGTTTCTACACTACTTTCATCATACGTTTACAACCATCCAAAACATACATATTCATCTCATATTTCAACATTAGAATGTAAACTCATCTTCTACCTCTAACATTTTACCCATTTTCCAACTGAACCACATTTTCACTTTAGGGTTTTTGGGTTTTCATGAACCAACCCACAAACTCTTTCCATTTTCGAAATACTAACTCTAAACCAAGAGTTTACAAGAGAAAAATCACATAAAACGAACCATAACTCAAAAGGGTGAGTCTTCATGGTTTGTCATATTTTGAGAAGAGATCCAACATACCAAAAATAGGTTTCAAAGAGAATAAGAGAGTTGGAATAGAGAGTTTTACCTCATCTCAAAAGGGTGAGTTTTCATGGTTTGTCATATTTTGAGAAGAGATCCAACATACCAAAAATAGGTTTCAAAGAGAATAAGAGAGTTGGAATAGAGAGTTTTACCTCTTCTCAAGCTCTTGGACGAGAATCAAAGCTTCTAGACCTTGGGAATGCTCTCTTCTCTCACCTCTCTTAATTTCTCAACCTAAAAATGTATTTGGGATTTCTCTCATTTAATGCTCTCGTCGGGTTCTCACTTAAGCGAGCTCATTCTCGCTCAAGCAAGAAAATCCCCCCATTTTAAAAACTCATATCTGACCCTCTCGCCCAGGGAAGGCATCTCTCACTCAAGCGAGGATCTTACAGCCTCGACAGGTCCAAAATATCACTTTTCTCGCCCAGGCGAGCCAACTCGCGCTCAGGCGAGACCTCTCTCGCTCAAGTGAGCCAACCCTCGCTCAGGCGAGAATCCTTCAGTATATCCCAGGATTTCACCCTCCCAGGTGAGCCTCTCTCGCCCAGGCGAGAATCCTCTCGCTCAAGCGAGAATCCTAGGACTGATACTATAATTTTAAAGACTTAATTAGGGTGTTTTACATCGGCTAAGGGAATTAGTGTTTGTTCTGTTGATGTCACCGAAGGGTATTTAAGAACTTGTTAACATTTCGAAAGAATAACACTAGAAAGAAATATGTATTTTGTCTTGGAAGGTGAGTTTCTCTTCTATGAATAACGTTTGATAATGAATGGAATGTTAGTCCTTTGCAACAGTGGAACGAGCTATAACATGAAAAGTCGTATGTCAAGCTATGTGGTTTATTACATGTTCCTATTTGAGATATGTTGTTGATTATCTTGTCATTCCTCAAGATTAAAAACGAATATGCATGAAGTAAAGATTAATTGATTATGAGACTTGTTGACTAAATATCTACATCTTTATTGTGTGACGTGTAATCGTGCAAAATTTTAAATTGTAGAAGTCTGCTAACATGTACTTGACTGTTTTGCCTGGGAATGAACATGTGTGTCTTGACCTATTCCCGCGTATGAGTTTGCTTGCAATGCATGAAGGTTTAGAAAGTTGAATGAAGTGAATAATTCATGTGTAACATGTTCTGTATGACAAATGGTGAAATATTCCTTGGAGATTAATTGTTAATATCCGATAATTTGTTTCGTGATGTGTGAATTCTAGAAGCGATGTGTTAATTGTTACGGTAATGACTTAAATAGTAAGGTAATGATTCACGTGAACATGTAGATGGATATGTTGTATGGAAGGTGTCGAACATGAAATGTTGGTTTTTAAAAAAAATAATAATATGGTGTTAAAGAGGAAATTAAATGAAAGATACCTAGTGTGTTTTGAAACGACTAAGTCTGGTATCTTTGTTTTTATGAGTTGCTTAAAGTTAGACTTTCTTGTTTGCATTAGTTTGTATGATTATGCTAAAGGTAAAACACATGGTTCAACGTAATGAATGAAGTAGGTGAAGTACCTAAATGTCATTGTGAAGAGTGTATTTGCATAAAGGTGGAAATTCCTTATATGTTTAAACTTGAAGTGACTCTCTAAACCATTGGAAATTAAAAGCGAACCAGTATGAAAAACAAAATGGGCATAATAAAGTTAAGGTAACAAATTTTCATTATGTCAGTGATTTCTTATATGTGCATAAATCTGAACCTTGATGATGAACATGGATGTTGTGTTGCTTAAGTTTTAGCGGGTTAATGGATAAACCAAAATTTGTTCTATGCTTTTGTGGAAAGTAGTATTGGGAATAGCGGAGTCATCTTGATTGTTGTACATGAAACTTTTGGTATATGGTGATTGACCCTTTGCAGTGGAATAATTGCAACGCGCGATATAGTGGTATTGTACCCCAAATTATCTGTTTGATATTGTACTTACATAACTTATTTTTGTTTCAGGTGTGTTAGTGATTACTATGCATGATTGAAGTATTATGGCATGGGTAAGTTTGGTTAAATGGACTGTGAGGACTCTAATGCCCCGAATGGAATGTAACCCTAGAAATAGCTAGCCTTTGAAAATCTTAATTTGAAACTTTCGGTGTAACATGAGAAAATGGATTTTGAAGCTATTTTGAAATGATTATGAAAACCTTGTTTTCGCGAGATAATTGCCACGAACCTTATATCTGAACTATTTTCGAACGTTATTTGGGGTGAAATGTAGAATGTGGCTAAGCATTAACTTAGTTCCACATTGAATGTCCAAAACTTTAACAACTGCATCCTGTGCGAATGTAATGTTGCTAAATACTTTGTGGAGTACTTCTGACTAGGTGTTTCTAAACATATTGTAGATTTGATTACTAAACGTATACTTGCAATTGTAAATGAAATATCCCTACATAACATATGTTATTGAATTGAGTGTTATAAAATTGCAATGATCATTGGTGGTCAAGCATGTGATTAGATTGAGTCTGCAACCTTGTATGCCTAGTTGAGATTATGAATTAGGAAATCTTTTTAAACTGCAATCGTTGTAGTAAGAATGTTGGTTGAGTTGGATAATTACATGGTAATTTATTTAGTACTCGGAACGACTACAAAAATCTTGTTTGCCTAAATGCTACTTGTTGGATGACTACCATGTTCTGTGTGTAGCAGTACGAATTGAAATGCTATTGAGAATTTTTGAGTAAATCGTGATTATTGCTCATGTGTGGAATGAAATGATGTTATTGAGTGGATGTCGATCTAGATTTTGCATGTTGGATATGAACTAGTACGTCTTGGTATTGATGAGTATGGAGTCCCACTTTATTCCGAAATTGAAGGTATTACTGTGAATCTTACTGTTTATGTTGATCATTTTGAACGATGATTGTAGTAATAGATCGGGGAGATCTATTGTGAATGAGGAGACGTTTGGGAATCTTTATTCCGGTTGTGATAATTTTCCCTTAGTTGTCCTGATGGTTGACCTTGGTATATGGACTTCTGAGGTTAGTCTATGAATTGGCTATTTTGTATCACTGTTGAGTGGTATGCGCCATTGTTTATAATAATGATGTGTTATGAGTTGTTAATTTGTTATATGAGGTGAATGTTTATTGTGATAAACATATATGGGTATGTTTGTAACAATGATTGTGTGATAAGTGTTTAATGACAACAAATGGACGAGATTATGTGATATGAGAATGATTGTGTAATGAGTATGTGTTATAATGTTGAATACAAGGTGAATATGTATGTCTTGAATGGTTGGAAACTCCTAATGAAGTAGTTTTGGAAACATTGAACATGTATGAAACTCTTGTGTGTTTGACGATGAAATATGAGTCGTTTATGTGTTATTTTGAATAAATGACTGACATTGTTGTTATTGGTGGGAATGAGGAAAGATCCTAAGGTTGGAGGAGATCGTGGAGGAAACTGTTAAAGTTACTCCAAAACCGAACTCCAACACTCACCGTGGTAAGGATAAGTCTTTATTTGAGCATTTGAAATGGAAAATGTGTGTATTTTCTGGTTAAGCAATGATTGAGTTGTGAATCACGTATTTAGTATTAACATATATGGGTGTGTTTATACTAATGTTGGTGTAGATTTACGGGAAATGAGAAATGGTGAAATCAAGGAAAGGAAAAATATATTTTTAGCCGGCCTTGAATGGTTAGCGACTTTGGCTCGAGTATATGAGCGAAACTCTGGCTTGAGTATATAAGCGAAACTCTGGCTTGAGTATATAAGCGAAACTCCGGCTCGAGTATAAGAAGCGAAACTCCAGCTCGAGTATATGTAGCACATTTTCTTTTAAAAAGGAAATGAGAATTTGCTTTTAGCTAACCTTAAAGGGTGTAGCGACTTTGGCTGAAGTTATGCAGCAAAGAAAAATGAATTTCAAAAAGGTTTACTAACCCCTTTAAAATGCGGATTATCTTATAATGGTATTTATTGTCTTGATGACTTACTCCTTTGTATGTTGTGTGTATTTGCCATTGATAATCCCATTGCAGGTAAACAGGATAGTTGACGATGCTTGGTTCGAGGCTTTAGGAGCTTAGAACTTGGATCCTTTATTTTTCTTTTTGGTGATGTAAATTGTTACTTGGATGATTGTACTCATAACTACTTTGACTTTCTACATTTTTGTGTAACGCTGATTATTAGTAGTTATGGGTGTTTTGGAAACTCATAGTTAGTCATATGCGGTAATTACCGAGGGAAGGAATACATGAATTATGATTTTCTGTTAAATCGGCGTACGTGAATATGGCGATATGGAATAAGTATATTGAAAATGTGATAGTAAGTATTGGAAATTGCATGCAAAAGGAATAAAATAAGGAAAAAATTTCAAGGGTAGAATTTGGGTCTTTACACTTAACTCTAATCTGAGCGACTTTCTATCACATCCATCACTATATTCTATCAGTGATTGAAGGATGTAATGAGGATGGCATGAAAAAAAACACTTGGGAAGTCAAAGGATTGCACAAAAGAGTCTTGACTCTATAAAAGGACCAAGCTACAAATACACATAACCTCAAAAGCATGGATGCGTGAAACTCCTTCATGTGTCGGTGTCAAATACGTATCTGACAGATAACTATAGACATCCAGGGAATTCTTATCTTCCTTATCCATCGATAACTCACATATCACGCATAAGGCTGTACACCAATGACACATAGAATACATAACATATCATATACACACAAACGATCTATCATGCAACAACGAGAGAACACACACATATCACATATATCACATTAGCAAATAAAAAAGAGAGTTGCAGAGTGAGAGATATACCTGAATCGCCTGAGCTTCATTCTTCATCCTTATAAGAAGCCCCTACGTGTAATTCTCTACACCATTATTTTCGGTAAGGGTGGAAACAGGTCAGCCAAGACTTTGCCTTAAACATGCCGAACTTAGCGATAACAGAGCTCAAAAGCTTAAAGAGAAAGACCGAGGATATAGGAATAAGATGAAAAATGGAGAAAGCCATTGTAACCTACTGTTAGAATCACCGCTGTTGTGGGGAAGAAGGGAAAACCTAGGGATTTCCATTCCCTTCTCAATTTCTTTTCTTTAACAGGGAACCAAATCAATTTCCTTTTACTTTATTTTTGTTTTCCATTTCTCTTTTTTTATTTTTTATTTTTTTTATATATATATTGGTTATGGGCAATTAATTCATCCCAATAAGGTTGAAGCCCATTAAATCAATTCTTATCAATTGTTGAGTAACAACTACACACTTCCTTTTAAACATATTTTCTTACCATTAGTTTATTTCTTTAAACAAACTATTTCTAATCATTCTACAAAATTTAAAAATCTTTAAGCAGAATGTGATAGTCTAGTCTACAACACGTGTCGTTTCTACCTTTCCGTCCCAAAGATGGAAAGACGGTCTACAACCAATGTTGTCTCTTTACTATCAATTCTAATTTTATAAAATAATTATTTTCTAAATTCTACTAAAAATCTCTTTTAATTTAATTATTTCCAAATATATTTTTTAAGTTAAAAATCTTTAAATAGAGTTTGATAGTCTGGTATATGACCTGTATTGTTTCTACCTTTCTGTCTCAAAGATGGAAAGTCGATTCATGACCAGTGATTTCTCTTTACTATTAACTCTAATTTTTTAAAATAAATTATTTCTAAAAAAATTCTTTTAAATTAATTATTTCCAAATGTCTTTTAAACTAAAAATCTTTAAACAGAGTTTGATAGTCTGATCCACGGTCCGTATTATGTCTTCCTTTCCGCTCTAAAAGTGGAAAGTTGACTCTTTGCTATTAATTCATACTTCCTAAAACTATAAAAATATTTCTATGGTCAAAGCTACAAATTTTAACCAACCCAAATTTATCAAACAAAATTAATGAAATCAAACCAAACCAAACAATTTCATCAACTTTTGAATCAGAACTACGTAGCCTTGATTTCCCTACTGCACCTAGGGATACGTAGGAGCAAGATGAATTCTTGTGAAACACAAAAATAAAAAATAAAATATTTTTGTTTTACTGATTGAATTTCTAAAAAATAATCTTAAGGGTATAAAAGTTAATGTTATTAGTGAGGGTATCGTTTTCATCCAGACGGACGAATGCTAATACCTTCCCCGATTTGTAATCGACCCCCTAGCTAAGAATCTCTATTTAGAGACCAAATTATCCTAATTGGATTTATTAGAGAGTTTGATACGTTTTATCGCAAAAACGTAGTGGCAACTCCATATCAATTGGAAGAGGTAGAAATCGACTTCGCCTCTCCCTATGTCGCAGGACCGGTCTTCCAACTGAAAATCGGGCCACACTGTCTCTAATTAATCAGGCCCAACTAGGTAAGCTTTTCCATTGTGTTTTTTGGATGAAACATTTCTCCACACGTTGTTCGGGTGACTAGTTTTACTTCACTCTCATTAATTAACATTATGTGTAGTTATAGAAGATCAAACACATGTGATATTTTGGTAAAATGGTAAGCTTTTTAATGATTTTCAAGTGATATTTTGGGTTATATGGCGACACCAGTTCTGTTATCCGTATAATAACATATGTGAACAAACTCAAAGACATGTGATAGATGTATGTCCCTGATGCAAATGAGAAAGATAGTCATGAACATAATGAATATGATATAATAATTTAAATACCTGAAGTTTTTTAGCAGGTTGTATTCATTAATTCATGTTTTTTTTTTCTTGCGGTTGAAGATTAGGTGACAAATTTCTTCTTGATGCAACAATCTTAGCAAAAAACCATTTTCAGAATAAATTTTTAATTTCTAATTTTAGCCAAATAATGGTGTTGCATGTGTATCTTATACATCTTTCAATGCAAGAGGACCATATAGAGCTTATGACATTTAAGATAATTGTCATTTTTTAAATGTAATATGATATCACTTTCACTTTTTGGGTTGTATTAAGATTAATGATGAATGTTGAATTATAATTCATCCAAATATGTTATATTAGATTAAGTAAGTTTGTTAACCTACAAATAGAAGATAAACTGGTATAACCCAAGACTTATATCAATGGGAGATAATTTGTAAGTATTACCCAAGACTTTTATTAACGGAAGATAAACCATGGTATAACGCAAGACGTATACCTACAAAAATAAAAGTATAGATATAGTGACTTATTGATGACGGAAAATATGTCAATAGATTTAGAGTTTTGGGGTTGTAACAAAATTTATGTAGTATGCACAACTACATAAGTACAAAAATTAATTATTATCGAATCGAAAATGAGTTATAGTCTTTTTGATTGGGAAAAGGAGTCGATGCAGGTTTTCCAAGCATTGTTGTGGGTGGGATCTTTGTAGAATATTTTTGATTTTTTTTTTCATATTCTTGGTTATTTTCAATCCATCGCACAAATGCTTCCCTAGTGAATGATGTTGGTAGAAAATCTTTAAGCATTCGTGGAAGGTAAAAAAAAAAGTCTTGGCTAAATTATTACTGTGACTTGATATTTTTTTGTTGGTAACCGATTCTGCAACTTAAGAAGAAGTGAACTCGAGTTTGACATCTCCCAAAAGATTTGGATTTGTCACTATATTTTTTTGGTTAAAAGGTAGAAAACTTTCTTTTAAGCCCAATGTTGTGCATCGACATTTGGCTACACGACTTTCTTATAATCGCCATTACATTATTTATGGTAAAAATTGTAGAAAAATCATTTTGTCTAATTACATAGGGCTTTGGATTTCTGATATATAGTTTTAAGATTCGTTACGGAGTAGAGAAATGTATTAGCATCCTATCCAATTTAAAATGGATTTTGGTCATATTAGTATGCATGGCACAACAGAACTATGCAAAAGAGGACGGTTGAGGGGAGTCAGCAAATGCATGCTAGATCTGTGCCAGTATTGTGTGCTTGGGAAACAGAGGCGAGTTAGTTTCAAGGTTGGCCAACATAGAACTCAGGGTATTTTAGACTATGTCCACACTAATATATGGGGACCCACTCAGGAACCATCCCTAGGAGGTTCTAGGTATTTTGTTACCTTCGTTGATGACTTTTCTCGCAAGGTTTGGGTATATTTTTTGAAGCATAAGTCAAAAGTCTTTACCAAGTTCAAGATTTGGATGACAGAGGTTGAGAACCAGACTGTAACACCCTAATTTTAAGTCTTTAAAATTATAGTATCAGTCCTGGGATTCTCGCTTGAGCGAGGAATTCTCGCATCGGCGAGAGAGGCTCACCTGGGAGGGTGAAATCTTGGGCTATACTGAAGGATTTTTGCCTGAGCGAGGGTTGGCTCGTTTGAGCGAGAGAGGTCTCGCCTGAGCGAGAGTTGGCTCGCCTGGGCGAGAAAGGCTCAACTGGAAGGGTGAAAATCCTCAGAAATACGGAAGGATTCTCGCTTGAGCGAGAATTGGCTCGCCTGAGCGAGAGTGGTCTCGCCTGAGTGAGAGATTGGCTCGCCTAGGCGAGAAAAATGATGTTTTTGGACCGATCGAGGCTGTAAGATCCTCGCTTAAGCGAGAGGATCCTCGCTAAAGCGAGAGATGCCTCGCTTGGGCGAGAGTTCCCTCGCCTAGGCGAGAGGGTCAGATATGAGTTTTTAAAATGGGCGGGATTTTCTCGCTTGAGCGAGAATGAGCTCGCTTAAGCGAGAGCCCGACGAGTTCATTAAATGAGAGAAACCCCACATACATTTTTAGGTTAAGAATTGAAGAGAGGTGAGAGAAGAGAGCATTCCCAAGGTCTAGGATCTTTGATTCTCGTCCAAGAGCTTGAGAAGAGGTAAAACTCTCTATTCCAACTCTCTTCTTCTCTTTGAAACCGATTTTTGGTATGTTGGATCTCTTCTCAAAATATGAGAAACCATGGAAACTCACCCTTTTGAGTTATGGTTCGTTTTATGTTGTTTTTCTCTTGTAAATTCTTGTTTTAGAGTTAGTATTTCGAAAATGGAAAGAGTTTGTGGTTCATGAAAACCCCAAAACCCTAAAGTGAAAATGTGGTTAAGTTGGAAAATGGGTAACATGTTAGAGGTAGAAGATGAGTTACATTCTAATGTTGAAATATGAGATGAATATGTATGTTTTGGATTGTTGTAAACTTATGATGAAAGTAGTTTAGAAACATTGAAAATATAATGAACATTTTGTATGGTTAAATAATGCAATATAAGTTGTTTATGTGATATTAATGAGGAAAGATCCTAAAGTTGGAGGCGGTGTCAGTGGAACTTACGAAGTTGCCAAGAACCAAACCCAACACTCACCGAGGTAATGATAAGTCTTTAACTTATGCACTGTGATAGAAAATGCGTGGATTTTCTGGTTATGAGTAATGAAATGATTGTGAATCACTTAATTGTTATAAGCATATATGGGTATGTTTGTAATAATGTAGGGTAGATTTACTGTTTATGTATTGGTGGAGTGCCAATGAAAATAAAACTCGGGTTAATGACATGAATTGTGAATCACTTAATTGTTATAAGCATGGATGGGTATCTTTGTAATAATGTAGGGTGGATTTACTGTTTATGTATTGGTGGAGTGCCAATGAAAATAAAACTCGGGATAATGACATGAATTGTGAATCACTTAATTGTTATAAGCATATATGGGTATGTTAATAATAATGATGGGTGGATTCACTATTTATGTTTTGGTGGAGTTCCAATGAAAATAAAACTCGTTTTTAGCCGACCATGATTGGTTAGCGACTTTGGCTCAAGTAATGTAGCAAGCTTTGGCTCAAGCAATGTAGCAAGCTTTGGCTCAAGCAATGTAGCAAGCTTTGGCTCAAGCAATGTAGCAAACTTTAGCTCAAGTTATGTAGCATGTTTTCAAAAGTATAAACAAAGAAAATGGTTTTAAGTGTATTTAATTCTAAGTTTGTACTTAACTTTATTAAAATGTGGATTAACGTATATTGAAATTATTTCACGTTAACGACTTACTCCTTTGTATTTCTATGTATGGTCAATGTTAATCCCATTGCAGGTAGGTGGAAGATGTAAGGACGTTTTGATTAGGAACTTTGAGGCTTTTATTTTTTGGAAGCCCTTATATTCATTCTTTTGTAATATGACTAACTATATTTTGGACATGAATATTT